CTTGGCTTCCCTGAGTGCTGGGGTCACAGGTGTGTGCCACTTTAACCAGCTACTGCTGGTTTTTTTGGTTTTTTGTTTGTTTTTTTAGGGTCTCACTATGTAGTGTCTGGTCTGGCTTTGAACTCACTGTGTGGCACAGGTTGGACTTGAACTGGTAGCTCTCTTTCTGCCTCAGCCTCCCGAGTACAGGGATTATAGGAGTGTGCCACCATTTCCAGCCTGTTACAACTTTTTGAGAGTACAGTGCTATGCTATATAGCAGAGTCAAACTTTTTCCTGTACTGGGAATTGAACTCAGGACCTCAACCTTGCCTGGCACAAGTTGTGTGGTATATACCTGGCCCGAAGATAATTCTTACAGCACTGAAATAGAAAAAAAGCCAGAAACAACTTAGATGTCTTTAGGGAGCAGGTTAGTTAATAAGTGTGCATCCAGGTGGCTTTGTGTAGCCATTTAAAATTACGTTGCCAAGATAGGAAGAAACAGCTGAACATAACCATGGTGTATTATTTCAGTTAGTGAAATGGAAAGTTAGCAGGAGTAGAGATTATGGAAGAAATATTTAATCATGGACATACCCAGAGATGTATCTGCACATTGATTGTAATGCTGGAAAATTAGAAACAACTTTAGTATCAATGCACTGGCGACTTGACAGCTAAATGTTGTATTTGTTAACAGTATAAAAGTTAATGGCGGGGCCGGGAGATGGCTCAGTAGAATAAGCATTTGCCTGGCAAGCACAAGGACCTGAGTTCAATCCCCGGTTCCAAAAAAAAAAGTTAATGGCATGAAAATGGTTTATTTATTTTGTTCTTTAGCTTTTTGAGATTAGGTCTCAGGGCCAGGGAGATAGCTTAGCAGTACAGCACCTGCCTGGCAGTGCAAGGACCTTAGTTCGAATACTGGTAAAACCGGTACCCAACAGCAAAAAAGACTAGGTCTCACTACGTAGTTTAGGCTGGCTTCCAACTCACGGCAATTCCACCTCAGCTACTGAGTGTTAGGATTAAAGGTGTGTACCACCATTCCAGGCTCCATGAAAGTGGTTTATGATGTGTCATAAAGAAGAAAGGAAGCCAGCCAAATAGCTCAGCAGATTAAAGCACCTGCAAGCAGACGCAGGGGTTCAGTCCCCAGGCCTGCCTTGCCAGCCCCGCCCCCAGAGCACGCTGAGATGGCAATTGAGACTGGGCATGGTGGCGCGCACCTGTAATCCCCGCTCTTGGGAGGCTGTAAACGGGGATCACTATGAGTCCGGTCTAGTAGTGAGACCCTGAACACTCTTGAGGACTCTTCCCTAAAATACGAAAAAAGAAAGGACAGGTTTCAAAATGTAGTCTTGGATACAGAGGCTGCCAGAAAATGTATATATACTTCAGGAAAAGAAAAAGTAGTGCAAATATTTTAATGCTAAATTTATTCAGACAGATTAATCGAAGTTGCCTTTAGCCTCTACAATTATGAGAGGTGCTGGAAGTGGTGGCAGTTGACTTCACATTATTAGTAAGGCACTCAGC